TGACCGAAGTCAACACTCCCTTATATAGGCGAAGTGAGAAGGCGAAGGGTCACTTCCAGAATTCAAATTTGGGCGGGAGAATCTCTCGGCCTTTCGCCGAGTGACACCTGTAGCAGGCCGTCGCCTGTTACAGGGCGACACCTGTCACAGGTAACACGTGACCAGTCACGTGCCACCTGTGAGGGGCAAATGATTAGGGGATTTTGCTCCCACCAATCGGAATGCACCACGTGGGCCAATCAGGTCCTGCCAAGTGTCCCCCAGTTGGAACTGTCAGGGCTTGCCACGTGGCACACGCTTATTCGTCCACCCTGGACCTATTATGTCATGACACGTGGCATACTCCATGCCTAATGGAGAAACCGGCCACCTAGGCCCAACTTCCGAGGGAAGCCCAATCAGCCCAAGGTTAACCTAAACCTAGGATTGACACGTTTCCCAAGGTTATAAATACCTCCCTTAATCCTCATTAAGGGAGATTACGCACATTAAACACTCTCACCTTGAGAGACCCAATCACTTTAATTTCCGCATTAATTAGTCCTTAATCAAGTACTAACTTGACCATCGGAGGCGGATCTCCGATCATCCGGAGCATCCGTTTGTTTTGCAGGTACAGGCGTCCGGTTCCAGTCTCAGAATTGTAACTCTCCCGCAGGACATCAGAAAACCCCGAAACAGTTCTTAATGAACATCCTTACAGATTCTTTCTCGCTTGGAACTTCGATCATTTTAGCGGAAGTTTCCCTCTATTTATTATAGAAAGCAGTAAATCCTTCATTTTCTTTCTGTTTAAGTATTTCAAGTTCCCTATGATTAGTTTCTACTTAGATATTAAATTTGTATTTATCAATAAAAGCATGTGTAATGGATTCCCAAGTAGCGATCTTCTCTTTGTCTATAGAGAACAACCATTGCTAACATATTGTTTCAAGAGAAAACGGGAAGAGTGAAGGGAAAACTCTTCTATCAATTCCCTTGATGTCCATGATTGTTTCAAAAGCTCTTAAGTGAAAGTAAGGATTGTTAGTTGGCTTGAACTTAGGGATGTCATTGGCAGAGAACTTTTGCGGAAGAAGTTCCTTATCCATTAAGACCCCTTTGGAGCTAATCCCGGTACTTGTAGTCATTAGATATTTGACTCAAGCTTTCTTCTATACACTTAATGGTCTCGACTGGTACTTGCTTTCTAGGGTCGTTAACCTGAGTAGTGAGCCCTTTAAGCATCTCGGCGGGTCCATTGACGGTTTGTTTAAGTTGGTCAACTTCTTCTTGACTGACCATTGTTCTGAACTTTTTCCTTGTGTCGAATCGGTCTATCAAAGAGTAGTACTTGAACGAAGGTGTTGTCATTGATTAAACGTCCTTCTCTCCTTGACCAAGTGATGTAAAATTAAACCATTGACTCTTTTAATGACTTGACTCGAATTAACTTTTATTTTCATTGGTTTGAAAAAAGCAAAAATTGGGTGCATATTTTGGGAATCAAGTATGGGGAATTCGTTTCAAGCAACATGGTTTATGTTGGGAGGATAATATCCGACTTACCCTCCTAAAAAAATGATGGAAAAGCGCACACAAGACTCTAGACATGGTCGTGACATATACAGAGTGTGTGCATTGACTAGTGAGTGAAAGTGACAGGCTCAAGACTCATGTAATGACTATGGGACTATGTGATTAGACTCAATCAAAAACCAAACTAAGACCTTGGCTATTTAAATTAATTAACCAAAAAAGTTTAGATTCGACGTAGAGACTCAGAAAGGAAAACCGAACCATTGCGAAACGATGGAACCATCGCATCGCGTTGGTTCTATTGCAACGCGATATAAATATCGCGTCGCGATAGAACTAACGTTCTGCGTTACAAGTCAGACTTTCGCGCCAGAACTGGAATGTCAGTTTAACTTGTTTCCGGTAATTCTTTCAAAAGGGAAGCCTATAGTCTTAGTAGGTCAAGTATGTTTAGACTTTATTAGTCCAAATTAATTAATTAATAAACTGAGCAAAGTCCTTTTTTAGTCATTAATTAGTTTGTTAAAACCTTATAAACACACGTCAACACAAACGGTTAGTTTATCACAAATAAGTATGCACAAGTAAGGAATGCACAACTAGTCAAATAGTCACAACATGATGCAATGAGTTTGCAACCTAACCATGGCTCTAGTTCTCTAAAGCTCAAGAATTATGGTAGTCAAAGAGGGTCCATGGTTACGAATTTGGATGCATCGCGTGGAAGCCTTACCTTTGGAAGGGTTGGCGCGTATGGATGGAACCCCATAAGTTAGACTTGCTTCCATGGTTTGGTGAATTCACAAACTCGGATGTACCCGTCGTTGCACGGAGCGTTCGATTAGGTAGATAGAGCATGAATTCCTAGGGGATAAAACCATATGTAAAACACAAATGGGTTCATGAAAGAAGGAAAAACTCAATCAGGAAGTAGAATCGGCGAAACAGTACTAGAATCGGTCAAAATAAGAAGACAGATTTCTGGCTCGATGTTGGAAGAACTCGGCGTGAGAAAACAGGGTCCATCGCACAGCGATGACTCCATTGCGTCGCGATGAAGCCATCGCATGGCGATGGACACTGTCGTCTCGCGACAGTTCCTACACTTCGTGGCAGCTTTCTATGTTCTCAAAATTTTCCGATTTTTCGTAGTATTTTTTCGATTCTAGTTGTGAAAGATATTTCCCAATATTCCTACATGTAAAATTCCTATGTTTTTTACGCATTTCAGATGGTCTTTCTAATGAGGACCTTTTTATGCTTATTCCATAATGTTAATCAAAATTACGCACAATGAATATCAAGAATTTTTCAAGTCTCATCCACTCATTCTAAAGTCAATTGCCAAAATAAATTTTAGGAATCAAAATTAGAAATCCTCCCCAGCGGAGTCGCCAAAAAACAGTAGGGAATATTTCAACACTCAACTTTGAGCCCCACTGTGGTCATGCACTTAAGCATGGTGGCGTCCAAAGGGAAAGAAACTAGAGCAAAAGAGTCGCCAACAAGTTTTAGGAACTTGTAAACCGTTCATGGGTGTGAAGGTTACACCCCATTCATGATCACGGAGATCGCTAACTCCATAGTGGTCCAGAACCATGACTGGATATTCGAGGATGATGGTATGAATCTAACCTAAAAGAGATTGAACCCGCCCTAAATCGGACTCTACTTAATTCTTATGACATTCATGTGCGCTTTCCGATCAACGTACATACATCAAGTTAATCCTAAACTTGTTTAATCTATGTTGGTTGATTATTAATGCACAAATAAATCTATTATTGGTGATCACTTGAATTAAAATCATATTAAGCCTAAAATCAAATTATTAATTATCTTATTAGGCGTGATTCCAAATACAAATTCCCTTTAAACCTGCAGAAACGGGCGTGATCAAGCAATTGCTATAAATCATAGAATAATCAAGCAATGTAATAATAATTTACACAACAAATCATCATCATAATCATCATCAATCTAATAATTAGCAAGATCCTAGGCATGATACTAAACAGATTAATAACAAACCCTAGCATGTCACTAATAATAAAAATCAAAGCTTTAGCCTAAACATGATACTAGGAATCACAAAAGCATCCTAACATGATACTGGGAATTATAAAAGCATCCTAACATGATACTAGGAATTAAAATAATATTCTAAGCATGATTTCTATATCAAATGAAGGAATAAGGATAGTGGATCTACTCACTTTGATGCCTCGTATCTCTTTCTATTAAAACAATAAACACGTTAGTAACTTCAAGAAAGAAATAAACCAAACAAATAAATCAAAATAGAATTGAAATAAGGATTAGGGACCAAATCCTCAGAAATATCAACCTTTCACGTCGAGGTCGAAGGCAATTTCGAGAAGGGATTGGAGTATTCAAGTCTCGCAAAGGTCGTATGGTGTGATGTATTTAGGCTAGGCTAAGAAAGAGAGAGAGAGAAGCTTATAGAGAGGGAGAGTTTAGATGATGATTGTTGGTGAATGAAAACGGAGGAAAACGACCCTATTTATAAGGAAAAACGAGGGAAAAGATCAGAAAAAGAGTCAGAATCCAACTCGGAATAAAACGCTTTTCATCGCGTGGCGATGGTTACATCGCGTCGCGATGCTTATATCACTGCGCGACATTTGCGTCGCTGTGCAACAATTCCATCGCTGCGCGATGCTTTCATAAGATGAGATTCGTACGGAATCTGACTTCCAATCAAATTGGGTTAGTCGAATATCCGTACTTATCTTTATTTTATCAGAATTAAATCTTATAAACAAGTGTTTTATCCGAAGTAAAATTCCTAAATTTTATCTTTTCAAAAAAGGATAAATTAGAACCTTCTAGAGAATTCTAGAAGCTAATAACAAATCCTAAGGGATTTAGGACTCAGAACAACCTTCTAGACAATTCTAGAAGCTTGTAATAAATCCTATTGGGATTAGGAATGATTTGAGGTTAATGGACCCTCCACATGATCATTGGGTCGTAGCTAGGTAAGGCTCGGTTTGGGCTTGGTTTTATTTTGTCCATAACTTCCTCGTTATAACTCGGAGTTGGGCTTATTATATATCGTTGGAAAGCTCTTTTCAAGACTCATCCATCTACATAATCATTGGACCCAGATTATGGACCAAAATAAATGGTTTGGACGTTTTTATAAAGATGACACGAAATGAATGATTTAAACACTAGTAGAAAAAAGCAATTGCCAAGCGGTTAAAAACCCTTAATGGGAAGCAGTTTTGAACCGGTGGGTCTAAGGGGGTCACCCATTGCCCCCTTGTAATGGGCAGCGGTTCAAAACGCTTCCTATTTTGAGGGAATGGGCAGCGGTTCACACTCCAAACCGCTGGCCATTTGTTGTTTACAGTTGAATTATAAGACATAATGGGCAGCGGTTTGGCCCACTGAACCGCTGCCCTTTAATACAATTTTTTTTTTTTTGTTTTTTCACCGCCAAACACTTATACATATAAGTAATAAACATAAACCTCATATATTTTCATTAATAACTGTAATTTTACACTTGCAAAAAAAAAATAACAAAAAAATACAATTGTTGGATTTACACAACAGCTCCAGCAAAGTGGCAGGGGCAGCAACAGTAGCAACTTAGAAGCAGAACAACAACATAGGAGCAGAACCAGTTAACTATGTTCTGAAGTAGACATATTCTACATAGCATGTTGCTCATAAACCAATGTAGTATCAAGCTGTTGAAATCAAATAATGACACCATTTTAGTGTATCTGCATGTATCAAGTAAATTAAGTGCAAAAATATAAAAGAAACATCACAACACCCCAACTTCAACACATACCAGTGTAGTTTTTAAAAAATAAGAGACTGCTTCTAGGTTTATTTATCATAATTCTATTTGAATCATAAAAAAGAAACTATACTACTCGCATACAGTAAGAGTAGGCAGGGTATAAGGCAAGTAAAACAAATGTCAAGCGACATGATAACATGATATAATCTCCATCTTCATCAACTTTTTTCAAACTCCAAAAGAGATGGATATACAAGAAAACGTGGGCAATAGGTGGGAAGAGGGGAGGGGGGGGGGGGGGAGAACCTGTACTGCAAGTATTCTGAGCATTGCAAATATGACATAGTGGTTCATCAATTAAGAAATGGTTATTTTACAACACTAATTAAAAAGTGCATCCTTTCGTTTGTTACATAAGTATTTAGTAGTCAAGGCAAAGATCAAAATAAAATAAAAAGTTGTCAAATGTTTCAGGAATATTATACACACCACTACAAGTAAAATCTTGAAGTATAAAGGCAACTTTGTTTTGATTCATAGTGCTAAGACATTTTAGAGAAGCAATGATAGTCAAAAGAGAGTATTATACCTTACTTAATATGCCAACAGAATTAATAAGCTCCATCATCAAGTCATCAACTTCAAAAATGTTTTCTTGCAAAGCCCGGTCAAATAGAGAAGGATGGGCTTTTACAAACTCGATGGCCTCACGAACGATTTTATTTTTCACTTATCAGAAGAGGGGGAAAAAAAGAGACAAGATAAATCTTCTGCATTGGCATATTTTCTGAAATTTCACCAGTTATCAATTACCTACATGACTACACACACCAGTTTAGAAAATACTCATAAAAAACCAAGGGCAATAAGCACAATTTTGCAAAGATGTGAAAACCACTTGAATAATCTTCATCTTCATCAACTTTTTCCAAACCCCAAAAATTAACACTAATTGATAATCAACTCATAACCTAAATACTAAAACCTTAATTATACAATAAAATGAACAATACATGTAAATCAATACATATAATTTAACACAAATTAACCTAATCAGACGTATTCTCATAGCTACAATACATAGAAAACAACTGATAACTCAAAAAATTTGAAAATAAACATCAAAACATTTCCAGTGAACACAAAATAAAGCAATCAAAATCACACAACTTGGCAACAATAGTTAAGTAGACTGATAAATTCCCCAAATCAGGCATAAATCTGAAATCGTATAAATCAAAGCCTAAACATGGAGTTGTTTTGTAGCAGATTTTTCTCTTTATGAATGCAGAAGAGATGAATTAGAGAGTAGGGGTGGTTAATGGACAGGGCTGCCCATTGATAATAGGGTCGGACCAAAATTTAAAGGGTTTTGACCCTAATATTTTAGTGGACAGGGTCACTAAAGGGCTTTAAGATATAGGGTTAATAATGGGCTTTTATTGACAGCTCATTAATATCAAAAAAAATAAAAATTAAAGGGCCAAAAAGAAAAATTAAAGGGCCAAAAACCCAAATTTAAAAAAATAAAAATTAAAATTAATCCAAATACCTTTCTCTCTCCTCCATTGAAGCGCACTCAGAGCTCTCCACTGAAGTCGCTTCTCAGCTTCTCATGTATCATCATTTTCTCTCTCTTAATCTGTTCTTCAATTTTGATTCATGTTTTCATTTTGTTAATGTTTGATCGTCGGCATTTGCTTTTTTGTTGCGCATTTTGGCTCAAATTGTGATACTTTTGAGGTGAATTCTTTGAATTTGCAATTCGAGGTTTAATTAATTGATCAGCATTTTTATTTACTTATGAGATTATTTTATTTTATTTATCGCTTCAATTTGATCATCGGCATAGTTTTCATTTCGCGTTTTTCGCTATTTTTTATGTGATTTTTCGATTTCTAAATTTTTATCTGAATATCAGTTGTTTCTTTCGAATAATTTTTGATCATTTTGGTGATTTTGATGTTTAAATTTGTTAATATATTTGATTTTATATGAACATTGTCATTGAATTCAGAGCATATGATCAATTTGAAAGAATTTTGTTAACCTATGTAAATTTCTATGATCTGAGACTTGGTTTGTAATCATCAATACGTAAGCATTTGGTCTAATAACTCCCATTAACTGTTGGTAATATTTCTAAGCTTGCAATTGTGCAGTGTGTTCCTTAATATGGATGATGATACTACTACTACTACTTCTACGACACGTGATGATGGATATAATGAATACATCACTCCGCAACGAAAGAGAAAGAAGATGTCTAAAGTTTGGAGAGAGCTTATTGAAGGGAAGAATGTTCAAGGTGAGAGAATTGCTACATGTGTAAATTGTAATTCTATTTTATCTGCACATCGTTGTAACACCCTAGAAATTCCTTTCCTTTGAAATACCCATTTTTCCATTTTAGAATACGTTAAAGGAAAATCTAAGACATTATCGCCACCATGAAAACGGCTAAAATAAATCAACTTTAAAAAGTCAAACCAAACAAAAATAAAGTCAAACAAAGTCAACCTACAACTCGGAACCATTGTAGGCCCTTAAAACCAAACGATATTAAAAACCTTTGCGTGAGTCTTACGAGCATAATAATATAAATAATATTCAAAGCAAATAAAACACATCATATTCCTATGGAAACTAAGCATGATTCGCTCTTCACTCATGTCCTTCATGAAAATGCTTTAATTCATCACCTGAAAAGCTTCTCTCTACTTGTCCCCACTACTCGCCATTAAAAATGGGTCGTCGTAAGGCCAAGGTAAAGACAAGGCCAAACAAACACACAATCAGCAAAGCTGAGTACATAGGCGTAATAAAACACACTAACATGTTTTCATCCTAACAACACACAACTTACCGTGTTGCCCCTGTTTACAAGCACACAAAACATTCAAAACCTAACCAGACCAATACCTATGTTCATTTAATTTTGATTACGCATCGAATAGGTTTCCCCTTAACCTGCCCCAATAAAGGGGTACTAACACGGGAGCTAACCGTGCCAGTATATAATAAACCACTCGTAAGTGGCCGGCATTCCTGCGCATAATAAAAAGGAAAATACAGCGTCTTGTACTCCTAGTAGAAGTTATGGTCAAATATATAGCCGCATAACTCCCCCCATATGTTCATACTCCAGGTATATATGTTCCAAGAGTTTTGGTGCGTAATCTCTTTCACTTTACGTTGTTTACATATTTTAAGACTGGGTGATGACTCTCAAATCATAACACAATCAAACATTATAATTCATTCAAACAATCAAACATACCAATTTAATTCTTGAATAATTAGTGACCACATAAATTTAATTGTTGAACCCTTTTTAATCTACCTCGGTTTTAAATAACACCTTAAGCACATAAAGTACTACAAATCCTATCCCTCTGTATTTAGAACACCTTAAGTGCACTTAGGCACCAAAAATAAAATTTAATCCTCGTGTACATAGAAACTTTAATAGCTCCTTCCTCATGCTTATAGCATCAATAAAAATTATATGAACCATAATAAAATTCCTTTTCAATAATCCAAACCAAATTAAACACTTAGTTTAATTAAACATGCTCTCTATCATGCCAATAATAAAAGTATGGTTCACAACCAACATGCCAACATAATTAATTCCAATCAACAATTCACTTCAATTAATTCATATTTCACAAATCAATCCAATCAACAAATTCCAACCAAAACCTATCATGATACTACTTGGAACTAATTAAACAAAGCCTAGCATGCCTCTACATATTCAAGTAATTACTAAGTACTCGAACGTACCTTGAATATGATCTCAAAATCGTCACGACTAAATAAAATCACTCACTTGAAAATCTCCTACAAACCAAAATTACGAAGAAGTATTAATACCTCTTTCACACAAATTTCCAGCAATATATATTCTCTTTAAATCACTCATAAACCCTCTAAAATAATCTGAAATTTAATTTAAAACCCTTACTTTTATTCCCAATTAATGGGTAATTAAAAATCCTTTCAAGAAACATAATTATAGGTTATATTTAAAATTCTAGCATTATTAAAACTTATAAAATTGCTGTAATTTAGTTTCAAAACATTAATTTCAATAGTTTTAATCAACCACAATCAAATTCCATCAATAAACATTAATTTAGAAACCTAGGGTTTTCAATTTGGGGCCTTTTAATTCAAAATTAAATCTAAAATTTTATATACAAAATACTTATTATCAAACATCATAAAATCATCACAAAACCCAAAAACAATAATTAAATTTAGGGTAGATTTAATTAAAAACAAAAACAATAATAATTTTTTTTTTTGAACACCACCGGCGCACACAGCCACCATGGCTGGCTGCTTGTAACACCCCAATAATTCTCCCTTAAAAAAAAACCTGTAAATACCTTTAACAATTTGCAAGAGAATTATTGACGTGCTACCGCCACGTGTTCAAACGTTAAGGCTAGTTCAGAATTTAGCAGCGAAAAAACTAACTCAGTTATAAATAAGTTTCCAAAACCAGTAATCAAAACCAAATTTAGTCTTACAAGTTGGAACCATGAAGGCCCTTATTCAAAACCCAATAAAAGTAGTAAATAAATCAAACCAGAGTTTAATTAAATCCAAACTTATGAAACGAAATATACTGTGGAAATATCCAACACTCCACTCAAAATCCCACACCCTGGGATTATGTATAAACCTGGGATTAATCTACTCCCCAATATTACAAGTGTAAAAATTGGATCATTACAGGATCATTGAAGGGCGAAAGCCATGACCAAGAAAAGACACACAAAAGCACGCAATCAGCAACGCTGACGCTGAATACATGCAAGCTACGAAACATGACAATGAATTCCTAACATACTACTAATAAGCAGTCAACACACACAATTTAATTACTTACTCAGACACATGTCTCAAATGTTAACATCACTAAAACTTTACTAATTAATAATAAATAATTCATTTCATTCATTGTTTGGATTAAGCAATAGACCAGGTTGTCCCCATATGCTCCATTTCGGAACATTAATAAAAGAAAACCCTATGCCTCCTTTCGTAAACATTAATAAACATCCAATGGCAGACGGGCGCAACTCCGTGGCCATAGCTAGTATGAGATCTCATCTAACTCCTTATAGTTTAGAAAAACATTTGTAAACAAGAGACTCGTAGATCAGACGGCCTCTAGAAAGTACACAGCTAATACCCCGTGTACCCCAACTCCTGTTTGTCAATACTCCAGATGTGCACAAATCCAGAGTTTTATTGCTCATCCATCTTGCACTTTACGTGATTTACCAGTTTAAACTTGGTGATGACTCAAATGCAAAATAATACAACCAATCATACATCAATCATTCAAACAATTCAAATTTCTAATTCAATTCTTGATTTATTAGTGACAAATAATATTAAGTATTGAATCCTTTAACTACCTCGGTGTATAAACACCTTAAGTGCATAAGGCACCTCAAATCCTCGACCTCGTCTTATAAGACTTTAATTCTCCCTTTACTCATTCCATTTCAATAAACATGAACGAGTATTAAAATAATTCATTCCACATATTCACGTACCTTTGCCTCTAAGCTCATCTTACAAGTTAATGCATAAATAATACTTACAAGATAAATTAATACGCAATTCTCATACATGAAACAAAACCAATCATCACATTATTCACCAATCAAACTTACTACCATACAATTCCAACCAATCCACAAGTTTCCTAACATGATTCTAAGTCTTCCAAGTCCTTAAACATGCTTCTAGAGTCAAGGTTTTCGTATCCTTGTACGTACCTTGAGTAAACGAGTTGGTTAGTCACTTTAGGAACTAGAAATCGCTTTCTACAAAGTCCTCTCCTAAACCAAATAATAATAATTCAATCAATACCCAAGCAATATAATTTACAGCAATACCAATCTTACTTTAAAACCCCTTAAATAATTGAAATAATGCTTTTAAATTGTTCCCAATAGCCAAAGTTAATAATTTAGTAATTCAACTATAAGTTTATATGTTAAAATCATGAAAATATGGCTTCTATCGTAAATTCCAGCAACTTTAAAGTAAGAATTATAATCTGAAAATTTAGTTTAAGAATATAAAACAACCTCATAAACATCTCTACTTGAAATAATCATTATAGAGTAGGTTAGTATGTTAAAAACCTAAAAATCCATCATAAACCATGATTTAAAACCTTTAAAACCAAGATTAAAAATCTGAAAATTTAATTTAATAGTAGAATGTATGAATACAATAATCTAAACTTGAAATATATCATTAGAATTCAATTAGTTTCATAAAAACTCAATTAAACCTTCAAAATTCAATTAAACAACACTTTAAAACCTTCCTTTTTGCTAGAATTAAAAGCTTATATATTATTCTTAAAATTTCCTACATAAAAACCTTAAAAATACATACTTATTTATGAATTTACAGCAATTTTAGAGCTTTATAAAAATCTGAAAATTTATTTTAAACATTAAACCTTCGTTAAAAATCAAAAATCGCCCAAAAATCATATTTAGAAGCTGAATTTGGCCATAAAAGGGCGGTGCTCACTACCAAAGGTAGTGAGTTTTAATTAAAACGTCGTTTACACACGAAAAAGACTATTTTTTTTGTAAAACTAGGATGAGTTAGAATCTAAACGTGATTAAAACGTGATAAAAAAAATTAAGAACGGAGATCAAAGTTGATTATAGAAAAGATTTTTTTTTATGCTTAATTAATCATTAGAAATTCAATAGGAACAAAAGCCCCAAATTAATTGATCATTAGAACCCTAAAATCACAATTTAACTAAATTAAAATCCTTGGTTTAAAATTACAAAATCTGAAAATTAAAACAACAATTATAATCTGAATATTAGTTTAAACATCAAAAACATGATTTTGATACTACATAAACTAATTTCAAG